GAAAAGGGCGACAGTTGAGGAAATAGAAGATGAAGAGTATCCTGGAGAATGGATCAAATATAAAGCCTCGGTTGCCACGGAGCAGAAGGTTGCAGAAGAAGCAACGAAAGTGAAGAAATCGGTCGAAGAGATGGTTCCCGATTGGCTTCACGAGTACCTGGGAGTTTTCTCAGAAGAAGAATCTAAGCGCTTCCCTGAAAGAAAGAAGTGGGATCATGCGATAGATCTTAAAGATGATGGCGATCTTCCGCCAAATGCGAAACCATATCCCTTATCACCCAAGGAGATGGACACTTTGAAAGATTGGTTAAAAGCCGAGACTGCACTGGGACGTATAAGAAATTCACAATCTCCAGTAGCAGCACCTTTCTTCTTTGTGGCCAAGAAAGATGGCAAATTAAGACCGGTAATGGACTATAGAAAGCTCAATGAGAAGACGGTTAAAAATGCATACCCGCTACTGAGATCTCAAGATTTGATTGATGCTTTAACCGGTGCCACGATGTACTCCAAGATGGATGTAAGATGGGGGTACAATAATATTCGCATGAAAGAAGGAGATGAGTGGAAGGCGGCCTTCAAAACGCCGTTTGGTCACCATGAACCAACCGTGATGTACTTCGGTTTAACAAACTCCCCTGCCACGTTTCAAACCATGATGAACGAGATATTCAGAGATTTAATTGATGGAAAGACCGTAGTTGTCTATATCGATGATATCCTCGTGTTCACGAATGGCAATAGGGAACAACACCGAAAAGTTGTACGAGAGGTACTAAAACGACTAAAAGAGAATGATCTGTATCTGAAGCCTGAAAAGTGTAGCTTCGAACAGACAGAAGTCGAGTTCCTCGGGTTGATAGTGGAGAAGGGTGGTGTTCGAATGGACCCTGTAAAAGTAGAAGGAGTAATGAAATGGCCTGTACCTAAATGCGTCAAAGATATCCAAGCATTTATGGGCTTCGCCAACTTCTACAGAAGATTTATCTTCGGGTTCTCAGACATCGCTAGACCAATGAATGATTTACTACGGAAGGATGTCAAATGGGATTGGACGGAGAAACAGCAAGATGCTTTTGATGAACTGAAGTCAAGGTTTACATCAGCTCCGATCCTAGTAATGCCTGACATTGAGAAAAAAATGAAAATAGAAACCGATGCTTCTGATTACGCAACTGGAGCGGTTCTATCTCAACTGATGGAAGATGACCTATGGCACCCCGTGGCGTATTACTCTAAGTCAATGAACGATGCAGAAAGAAATTATGACATCCATGACAAAGAGTTACTCGCAATCATTCGAGCGTTGGAGGAGTGGAGGCACTATGTGCAGGGAAAGCCTCACCATGTGGAGATCTGGACGGATCATAAGAATCTCGAGTACTTTATGACGAGCCAAAAGTTGACAAGAAGGCAAGCCAGATGGAGTTTATTCCTGGCGGAGTATGAATTTACGCTCCAACATAAGCCTGGTGTAGTCAACGATAAGGCCGATAAGCTTTCTCGGAGAGAAGACCACAGAGGGGGGGTAGAAAACGACAATTCTGATCGTATTTTGTTAAAACCGGAGTTTTTTACTGTAAAAGCTGCTAAAAGAGGTCAAGTTCTAGTGCAAGGAGAAAAACAATTGCTGAGAAAGATAAGGCAATGCACAGAATGAGAGCCCGAAGTCGCTAAAGCGCTACAAACGCTAAAAGCAGCACCGGTACAATTGCGTAGAGGAGTCGAAGAGTGGAATGTGGAGGATGGATTGGTGTTATTCCGAGGACTGGTTTACGTTCCAAACGATAAAGAGATCCACCGAGAGATATTGGAGTTGTTTCACGACTCTCCACCGGCTGGACACCCTGGACGTGCCAAAACCTTAGAATTGATTTCCAGAAATTATTGGTGGCCTTCAATGACGAAGTATGTCCACGATTACGTAGATGGCTGTGATAGATGCAGAGCAACGAAGATTCACCCAACGCAACCACATGGTCCGCTTAAACCAAATGAAATACCAGCGGGACCTTGGCAATCAATCACTTGTGATTTGATAGTAGATTTGCCTAAAAGCGAAGGGTTCGACTCTATTTTTGTTGTCGTTGATCGATACACGAAACAAACGCACATCATGCCTACGAAAAAGGAAGTTGACGCTCGAGGAATCGCGAAACTTTTCTTAGATAATGTATGGAAACACCATGGAACTCCGAAACAGGTGATATCGGACAGAGGAACACAATTTGTCTCCAAATTTATGGGACAAGTGTCGAAACGCCTAGGCATAAAATGGAACATGTCGACAGCTTATCATCCTCAGACAGACGGACAAACAGAGAGAATCAATCAAGAAGTAGAGCAATATCTGAGAATGTTCACGTCTTACCGCCAAAATGATTGGGTAGACTGGCTTCCGATAGCAGAATTCGCTCACAATAACTCTGTCACTGTAACGGGTCATAGTCCATTCAAAGTACTCTACGGATACGATCCAGAGTTTACTTTTTCACCAATTTCCAATTCTAAAGTACCTGCAGCTGATGAACGAGTGGATGTAATGAAAGAGGCAAAGGAAGACGCAGAAAGTATGCTGCGAATGGCGAATGAGCGGATGAAGAGATTCTACGATAAAGGAGTAAAAGACGCACCACAATTCAAGAAAGGAGATCTGGTCTGGCTCAATGCCAAAAATATCCGTCAGAAAAGACCAAATAAGAAACTCTCCGATCGACGACTTGGTCCATTTGAAGTGCTAGAGAAGACGGGTGATGTAAATTACCGCCTGAACCTTCCAGCAAAATATCAGATTCATCCGGTATTCCACGTAGAATTACTCACTCCGCATTCCCCCTCGACCTTAGTCCAAAGACCTCCACATCATCGTCCGCCGCCAGAGATCTTATCAGAAGGCGATTCCGAATGGACAGTACGAAAAGTCCTAGACTCGAGACTGCACAGATCAAAACTCCAATACCTAGTAGAGTGGGAAGGATATCCGATAGAAGAAGCGACATGGGAACCTGAGGAAAACCTTGAGAATGCACGGTTGAAAGTTCAAGAATTTCACTGGTAAAATCCGAAAGCATTAAATCCCCGCAAAATTAACAAATCGGTGTTTGAAACCCAAGAGTTTTTGGAATGGCGCAAGAAGTTTATTCGTCCTAGTTTCATTCGCGATGACGCTCATCCTAGAGAGGGGGTAATGTCACGAGTTCCAAATACCAATCATTATTCGTTCCTAAATTCTAAGTCCTTTAAGCGCCCAGTCACAGCGCCTGTTCCTAAGAATGTATTTACTGTTGAAGAAGTTCCTATTATTGCATCCATTGTAGAATTACCAGAGTCACGTGATCTATCGGACAACGCCGAAGATATTGACGTCATGCCTCGCGACACTCTTGGAATGTTCCAGAGTCTTACTGCGGCTGCGGCACATGTTATGACATCATAGTTATATATAGAATCGTACGATACCTTTAATTATTCTGATTGGTTAGTTAGTTCATACTCAGTTTCGATCTCAGTTTCAATATGTGTATATAGGTAGCTCGTCGTAGTCAGTAGTTCTTTAGTTCAAACCTCTTGTATCTCCAAGTGAGCAATACCAAGACGTACCTGCTGCCTACTTCCTCTGCGTGATTATTCTTTGTTTGAGTCCTAGTCTCTGCCCAGCGTTAATTCATTATTGGGTTGTGACAATAGCTCGGTGTTCGGACTTGAGCTGGGATAGATATTTGATAGTTGATCCACAGAGACAAATGCATCAGGATTGTGCGTTGGTCGATGACGATACTCTCGTCCAATGCCAAATTGGTTTATGGATGTCCGGAAAGAATCAAATACGTGAAGAATGACTTGGGGAAGAGTAGATGGAGGGGGCTGTGTGATTGCAGGCGGCGGCACTGGAGGCTCGTCTCTAAATCGCATGGGTAACCGGCGAGAGCGAGCTGGATGGATATCATATGAATCAGGAGTAGAAACTGGTACAGATGGCTCAGGCTGCGCATGCGAAATACTAGGCTCGTGAAGTTCTGTTGATGGCTGAAGAACGGGAGCTGTAACAGATGATGGGAGTGTATAATCACAATTGCTACTGGAAGCGGATGTGGCCCCGAAAGAACCATTGGAGCTTGAAGATGCATCCGTTTCAGCCTGAGTTGGAGCAGGCACCAGCTGCATGCCTGAGGTTGAGATGTCCTAGTCTGATTGAATAAAGATTAGGTAGGGTAAGTAGAAAGACTTACTGCTGCTGTTGAAGTAGTGTTAAGTTTTACTTTCTTCACCGCCGATCCTTGTATGCCATCTAATCCACGTTTGAAATGCATCATTTGTCGATCTAATTGCTGCTGCCAGTGAGAGCAACTTTTGCGATGGCGGGTCAGACCTCCTGGTGCTGCAAAAGTCTGTCCACACTTCTCATGGCACTTGAAATGCGCAGCCATCAAAATGATGACAAGCAGCAGTGTATTAGCCAGTAGTAGATGAACTTTCATGCGTAGTAGTGGTAGAGAAAGCTGAGCGTGATGGCTGCCAGTGACTATGCTAATGGATGATCCGGTAGAAGTCGGGCTCGGACCCTGACATAGCCGCCCCAGCTTGACTAGGAAGTTTCAGGACACATATGAACGTGTTGTTGCTGACAACCCTGGGCATGCAAAGGTTCTACAGCAATTGGGGTGGTTGTATCACCAAGATGGATCTTCTTTTCATTCACAAAAGTAAAATAACTATGGTATCTTGCCACCTGTAACTTAAATGTATCATGGAGAAAAAGACTTGAGTACGATCTCCATGACAGAGTCACAATACAAATCTATTATCTATTAGTGTACTTACTACTTACTCACTATGCACACTTGCAAATAGAATCGTGGGTGGAAAATGCCGATTGTGACCTTTGTTGACCAATGACAGCCCAGGACAGCCCCCGCGATCATGGATAAGGCTCGGAGCTCTTAGGCCTCATATTTATATATAAGCATAGGTGACCATAGTGCCACATCAAGCACTGTGCCATGCCTCCTCCCTTATCACGCCGAGTCCAGAGCAATAACTGCAAGACAAGAAAAACCACAATGCAATGCAAAGGGACCTCTCTAGCAACAAGTCGCCCTCGGCTCGTCAAACGGGCTACTGCAGCCCGTGTGCCAGTGGCTGCAGTTCCGCCTTCAAAACCTGCTACATTACATCAAAAACTCCACGGTTTTCATATTGAACCGCCCTTGGTGAAAGAGCACGAACCTGAGATTCCCAAAAAAGATGGTCAGTTTTTCTCTTTGGCCATTCATATCTGGGTTGAGCTTTTGTGAAAGTTTTGCGTGGGCAGATTATCGCTTTTCTCAGAGGAGAAGGACAGTCTGAGAGCACCAACGCTGATTACAAGGTACGAGGCCTTGAGGCATTGTCTCCCACGATAATCTCGCACGCTGACTCATTTTCAAGACCTTTTCTGACGTGTCCATCGATGATTGCGATTTGATTTTGGAGGCCATCGCCGAAGATGATAATCATCAATTCAATCGATACAAGTAAGTTGTGTGTGAAATCCGATAACTGCTAATGACTCTTTCTTTCAGGATATCATATTCCCCATCGTCTAAACAGTTGGTCGCAACCCTGCCTACTCCAATACACAAGAATCTCCTCAAGCCGTTGTGAGATGCTATTGATGGTGCTCTCGCATTGCTTGACATCGAGGGGCTCGGTAACTTTATAGTCCAGATGAACTCGACCCTCAGGGGGTTGGGAGAGGCGGGGTCTACAGAGAAATCCCTCGGTACCTCTGATGCGTTGGTTGAGTTCCATGATGAAGACAGAGGGCGTGTGCAGCTTTGGGGGACTGAGGTCACCTTCTCACAGACTCGCGATGCTGCTATCGCCAAACTCCAATGTTCCGTCACCCTTAACCCACACATGCGAGCTGTAACACTATTCGATATCCTGGAAAATCACCGCCACTCCCCACCAACAGAATCGTCGGATGCGTTTCGAAAACTGTCGAAGAAGAAGAAGGTCGCCTCATACCACAAATGGCTTCAGAAGGACGATTCGCCAGTCTTTGGCCCAGTCACAGGCTTTACCCACACTTGGGTGTTGTCCCTCACTGTCGTTGTTTCGACTTGGCTCCATCCTGATGATGGGCCATTTGATCTCTATGATCATAATCCACGATACTTCGCAACTGCCATGAGTTTCCCTCCCTCTTCAGGTGTAGCCGTATCTGATCACGATGACAGCAATTGTGTCCTGACACGGACATCACAGGCCTCGAAAACCTGCAGCACCTATTCCATCGCACATTTGCGAGTCTCAGGGACGCCACCATCAGCTACATGGAAGAAGTCATGGCGGAAGAGGATTCCAGTGTTTCGTCCGACAACTCTGACACTGAAGATGAGTCCAGCGTTGAAGATAAATCCAACATTGCAGAGGTATCCTCAGAGGGGACTGGTGAAAGGTTAATTTTAAGTTTTTCAATTGTGATATATACTTTATCGCATCTCCCAGCCCTGACCCCTTCGAGCTCGCTCATGCATGGGTGCCTCCAATATCGCCTATAGACTGGAAGGCAATCATGAAGCAGTTGTGGAACGCTGCACGGCAGACGGGCTATACACGTTACTCCACCTGGCACGAGAATTTGATCAAGCGCACCGCTGAAGAGGCAGAGATCTCTCCCAGAGCCTCCAAGAGGGCTAAATGTTCATGACGTGGTAAGTACTAGTTCTATTTGACAAACTCTAGACTGACATTCACTCAACTGCACTCTCAAGTTCTAGCATTGTGTATTCTAGTATCATGCTGTATACTGGAATGGATTTTCATTGTGTTTCTCATCAAAGCTTGTCGTCGTATGTGACTCGCACACTACTGTTGTTTTACGCCTTGTGTTTCTTTACGTACCGCAGCTGGTTTTTTTTCTGTACCATTACTACAACTTCCATGTACTACGTAAAACAGTTGGAAAGATCTGTCTTATTAAACGAAAGAATGGATTGGATTGGCACATCATGCAATTACTAAGTACAACGGAAAGACTCAAACACTTTGATGACATTCTACAAGTGAGGGACAGGATACAATTGTAAATATGGGACAAATTTCATACAACATACTTGTTACATGTCCTGCACCGTGTCCCAGGCAGGCTGCACAATAATACTGCAGAAAGTAAATTCACAAATGATCAATGATTAAAATGAATACATACTTCAATTTAAGATGAAGGTCCGGGTCGGATCAGTTTAATGTTTCCCCCAGTTGCGCTGTTCAGTACAAGGCCCATCGCTGAGGCGGCGGCGTTTGAAGCGGCTGGTGGGCATAGCTGCAGGCGGTGAGAGTACAATGAGTTCTCGTACAATGGCTTCAAAGATGTCGTGCTTTGAGTTCTTCATGTGACGATGGCAAAAAGCAAAATGAGCTTCCATGAGGGCGCCCTTGAGTTTCTCCTCATATTTGAGGGGTGGAATGAGAATATGGTCCTTGTCATACACTGGTAGAGGGCAAATGTTGTGCGTAGATATAATATCCTGCAGATGACCTTGACATCGATCAGCGACTGGCCAGGTCACAATATCAAATTCTGAGCTTAGGCCATCTGTAGGGGCCAAAGCAAATCCTTAGGCTAGTAAAGTGACGAAGGATGGTTCATAACTCACCAGTATAGGTTGAACTGTTCCCATCGCCATCGCCATCGATGCTACTAGTATCATCGTCAGCTTCATCCTTGGCCTATTTTATGATAGTAATCAGTGTCATTAGTAGAGAGTGATGATGTACAACTACTTACTTGAAAGAGACAGTGGGTGAGCTTAATCGATCTGTGACCGATAGTGTCCTGAATAACACTGTGCGTCTCATAGTATCTCGGCCTTGGAACTGATTTCTCGAAGGCGTTGAGATTCTCACAGACGGCAGAAAAATCTTCTGACGAGAACTTGAAAGCCTCGTTACGACCTGCAGTGAGCTGGCAATGCAATTTCAGGTCTGCCAAACGGCCATGAAAGACGTTTGCAGGGTCGTAGTTGGTGTCTGGTGTGAAATGGAAATTGTTGCGGCTGACTTGAAATACACCGCGGATGATGAATTCTTCATCATTGTCCTGGCCCTTAGTGATTAGGATGTTACCGTCCTTTCCGCCTGCAAAATACTCAGTGCAGTAAACAAGCCTCGGCATTGCGGCGTAGAACCCCCCAGGAGAGGTTTGTAGCTTGTTAAGTACTGACGCAGGAGTTTTTGGAGAAGTCCGAGTACTGGAAGATAGTTTGGGTGATGTGGTAGGCATGTTCGTATTCTGGATCTTGCGGAAAGGTCTGCGAGGGCAGAGGACAGTGTATTTTAGTGGAATATTATTGGGAGAAATAAAGATGATGATCTGTCCCGCTAGGAGCCTGGGACTTTAAAGTTCTGAATCGTACTTGTGATCTCAGTAGCAGGGACACAATCGGTGATATCGATTCATCATTGCGCCAGTCTGAATGTGACGGCAGAAGTTTAAGTGCGCGAAACCCAGATTTGAAACTCACAATTGCCACTGCAGCAGAGAAATTGACGGTAAAGCTTATGGTCATGGGATCTAATTTGCATCCGAACAAAACAGCAAACTAAAATGGAGGTCCTTTCAATCGTGTAATGACAATATGCCAATAGAGTTCCTCATATTGCTCTGTTTGTATTGAAGGCGAAAGAATAGTGCACACTATTGAAGAGGGACATGCCACTCGAAGTACAGGGAACCAACATGAGAGGAAGTGTGAAGCGATAGCTGGCTGGAGTTTTTGCTGATGATCCGTCTGACACATTCAATTTTTCTAAGCGGTTATGTGAGTGTGTGGTATGTGATTCCAAGGAGGTAGGCACCTAACGAATTCGACCAGAGTATTGATCGTGCGGTTCTAACTCATACTTGGTATGAACCTTGCGCCTATGAATTGAAATAAGGTTCCTCCGGCTCGCATGAGAGGCGGCTACAGCTAACATTAGTTCGGCATCTGAATCGATTGACAATGAAATTAATTTTATGACGTACATGAGGAGCGCTTCGCACCTTCCCATGCTGCTTCTGGAACTTCCAACTTCCTACCCTGCATCTGCATTGCATGGTTTGAAAAAATACCAACGGTTTGGCACCGGTGGGCAGCCGAAAGGACTTAAACTAGAATATAATACACAGGTCAGATATCCTCTAAACAGATTCAGGGTACAATCGGCATTTCGTACCGTGGTCCGAGCTTGGACTTTTTCAAATCGCGCTCGATACCTATGTATACTCGTGATTAGTCGGCCGATACACAAAAGATGACACATACCCATCACCAAAACATACCAACTAGCGGCAATCGCGAAGATGAGCAAGAATCCGTTCAATAGGAACGATTTCGTATTATTCGCGGACACACGTACTGCGACAAATGCGTGAATAAAATGAATACACATAGGAGTTAGAACGCACTCATTGTGAAGCAGGACTCACTCATGGAGGGACGAAGAATGAGGAGGCGATGATCATTTGGTGCCAAGACAGGTGAGATAGTATTCGACTCTAGGGCGGAAATGCAGGTGCTGGTGGATCGGAAGGCATGAGATCTGAGAGAGAAAATGCGGGACTGGTCGAATGAGTCACCCAAAAACAGCATGGGGCTGTCCGTAAGGTGCAAGGGCATGCTGAGGTACCTGAGGGATTGGTGCTGAAGGTTGGGTAGGTACAAATTGCGTTGTTTGTGAAGGCGGAAGGACAGGTTGCACTGGAGGAGGGAAAACAGGCTGCGAGGGAGAAGTAGCGATAGAGGTAGCAACAGACGATGCAGGCGTGGGAGTGCTCTGTTGATGTTCTTGTTGCTGCACAGGTGCAGGAGGCGAGAGTGGCTGCATGGCCTGCTGTGGGAATGGCTGCTGTTCAGCTACGGGAGGTTTGATGCTGACCGAAAGATATCAGTTGGTGATGATCGAAATTGAGGCTCGTCACCCCATTCAGAAGGCTGAACAGTCGTCGGATCCTCCCAACCTTCCGATGCTGATCCTGCATCGCCATTAACAGCTGGTGGAATAGGTGTGTGCAAAAACTGGTTTGGGTAAAGAGGCAATGACTGATGGCGCAGGTGGTGACGCTGCAATGGGTTTCTCTTGTGGTCTATGCGCAAGTAATGATCAGCTGTGTAATATCAACCTGAATTCTTAAATGATGCGCACTTTGCAATCTGAGCCCAGGAAAGTTTGGAAGTCACCGGAAGTTGAGCAGATGATATAGGAGGTTTGGACATGATAGCCAGAGGTTGGTACGCGTTAGTGGGGGGAAACGTGGTGTGAAGTAGCACAGACAGTAGAGTGGCTGCTGGAGCAAGAGTGACTGCCTGAGCGAGGACGAATGCCACGGGTGGATGGAGGAGGAGGGAGTGGGCCTTGTGCGAGTGCAGCAGAACTGAAAATGTTATTGAGTTCTTCGTAGGATTCGAGAACAACGCGAGTCTAGATGTGTGGGAGTTTTGACAATAACGTTAGAGGAGGGAAGAGAGGTAGGAGAGCAAAATATGAGTGTAAGGTGCCATATGAGTGAATTACTGGGCGGCACAGGGTTCAATGCAACTTTGTACGCCCTTAGACACCTTACCTTCAGAGGAAGGCTGTCGAAATTCAAACAGACACCCAACAGCTGGTGCACGTGACGTCGGAACTTTTCACTCATAATCATTTACATGGACTTGTTTTTGCGCACATCCAATGATCCATGCCCTTGCCTGGCTACTAGTCACCATTGATCAACCGTCACTCATCGTTCCGCTTCTTATATCACTCATTCCAAAGGAGAAGATTCTTGTATATCAATTCGCATTCGACTTGGTTGAGGCTCGCCTTTCACCTATTCACTGCATCTGTCGCTTTCTGAAAGACGGACATATGGGTAGTAATTTGTATTCTTCAGGTTTAGAGTACAATAGAAACATGATCTTGCGCCAAACGGTCTCCATCATCGAGCTTGAATACAGGCATACAACTGAAGGTATTGGTAGTACATAAGTGAGGATTTTACTTGGCAGAACTCTCCAGAACACCATAAATCTTGGACAGTACCTCTGTCTGCCTGTCAACGGCAGCTTCGAGACGTTTCACAACATTCATGATCAAGGTGTCGTGAGTTGCACTTCTGTTGAATTCGAAGACCTTCGCCAGCTTCCTGGGCTTCGGTGCTTCAAATGCTGGCGCTGATTTAGCCCGTTGGACATTGGTCAGATTTCGTCCAAAGCGGGGTGTCTGAATTATTGAGTCATTAACTGATGATATGCACAGTGATGAAACAACAAGTCCAGCTCACCGTGACTAGAGGGTCTGACTCGAGAGATGACTCAGACCTCTCACGTTTCACCGGCAGGGACCTGTTTTCCTTGCTGCTATCAACCTCCTAGAATAACTGTCAGACTCGTGTAAATGGCCTTGAGGCAGACAGTGTACCTGTCGAATCCCGAGTCCCTGATGTTGTTCAGGTGCATCTGTATCTTCAACCTTCCGACGATTCGTACGCCGGTAGCACCCACAAGAATACACAGGGCCGCCTTGGCCATGTGCTTGACCACCAAAGCATGGCTCAAAATCGTGGCTATGTTGACTGTGGGGTGTAGAGCTTCTGCTCGAGAACATTGATGGTGGACAATGATAAGGGTCTGTCCGTGTGGATGATGAAGGAGGGTCCCACCAGACCGAAACATCATCTCCGGTCCCATCTATAGAATATTCGGAGCGTCGATCAGGGTGGATCTGAGCCATCATGTCAGTGATCCACGATGGCAGAGTGCTGGTTGTGCGAGGTGTGTTCTGGGACTCAGACATGGTGGCGGGTTACTAGTACAAGGGGGGAAAGCCTACTCACTCTTTGAATCTTATCATCTGCGTCGCGAATCTGGTGATGTAGTACTACCGTAAACTTGAGTTCTCAAACCGAGTAACAATTTGAACTTACCATCTGTCGGACGGCTCTAACATGTAAGGTTTGTTGTAAATCGACGAATTGAGAAGATTCAAAATGAAGACGCTGTCTGCCCTGTGGGTTTCAGTGTATCAAAGTGTCAGGGTTAATATGTTCGGAACTTACTAGGACTCCTTCAACCCCGCATTTGTATTGTTCGGTTCAAAAACACTGAGTGTTTGGACCCATGTGCAGTGAAAATAATTTAGACTAAAACATAGTTCAGAGGTCAGGTGTCCCGTCAATAGACTCAGGGTACGATGATCCGATCACTGGTTCGTACTCTTTTGTTTGTTTACGTATGTAGTTCTCCGTTAGTCTGGTTCTGGACTCCGCCCATATGTGGTAACGGATCAACTTGGTGTTGCTGATCTCTGTAGTATTTTAGTCCGAGTCAGGCTGCACTCTCACACCATGTTCCAACTTCCTACCAAATTCTGAACGCAAAATCCACCCCAGATGTCGCAAAGTATCCCCCCCGACAATAGCCCACCTTCCGAAGTGGTTTCTTTGAAAAGGCGGTTAGCTTTTTTAGAAGCTCAAAATGCAGAACTTTGCAACGAGTCAGTGCGGGAGAGAAAGTGAGTGTTTGATTATTTAGTATTTCAGCACCCCTTGAAGAGCTCTTTCGTTGCATAGTGAACTTCATCATACTGAGGGCCGGGTAATTCGGAGACTTGTTTGCCTCACAGAACGTGTTGAAGATCTCATCGTGGAGTATGATCGATGTGTCACCTTGGGGTTGGAAACAGACACTGATGATACTAGCTCAAACAACATCGAGTAGGTCCTTTTGTGTCGCCAGTGGCTTGCATTGACCATCTTTACTAGAGACGATCGGAGACACAGATCATATAAGAAGTTGGCGACTTGGTGTCCATCAATTCGCAAACTTCTAAACTCAGTTACTGAGAGCGGTGAGCTCTCTCACATATACAGCAAGGTATGAATCAGACACTGCTTGGCAACGAGGCTAATTGATGCACTATCTAGCTGAATAAAGGTGCTGACGGCGCCAGGGCTGACGACACGACACGTCTCAAAGTGACAGTTGCTTCTTGGTTGATGCAACTTACCCCGCCACCTAGCCCTGTCATTCAAGGGCAGAACAAAATAGGCCGCGGATTCAACAACGACACTACTGGACGGCTCATCTGTCCAGTCGATTACGATTGGAACGACTTAGCGTAAGATTTCATCTGTTTTGCTGCTTGCAACATCTTTGCTGACCAATGCGGTAGCGTCCGACAGCACATCAGGGAATACCACCCAGACTATCGTGTTACAGCTTATTCTTGGCCGGCATTCTTGTACCAGGACGAACAATACGACTCACAAAAGCCTACAAACGGTCTGTTCAAAGGAAAGTTACTTTTGAAGGTACGTATTGTGAAGGCAAATGACCATTTACTGAGGTCACTTACAGACATATAAATTCATTTTCACGTCTCCTACATCTGCGGAAATGGAAGACCAAGAGGAGCTTAACCTGGATGACATATCCACACAAGGCCACCCAAAGCAGCGGAGGACCGCTGGGGAGCGTCGAACTCGCTGCGATGTTGCAGGACTACTGAACATGAAGTCAGTACAACTGCGATCAATTGCATATACAGCTGTACAGGCAAGTGTGATATATCTCTTTATCCATGCGCTAGCACAGCTGACATGGCCGGCTATCTCAGCTCAGATTTGTCTTATCCAGTATGGGATCATGGCGAGTTGTAGACGACGAATTCAATCATCAAGAGTTCTACAACAATATCGTCGACTTCCTCGAGCTTCCTATGACACCAGACGCGTCCAAGGAAGTTGATGACTTATTATTGTGGTGGAACCGGTGAGACATCACGCAACTATCATCATTTACCCTTGGTCTCATTATATTGTAATATTAGCAAAGTATTTGGACATAAACATGCATCTGCTGATCGTCCTCAAAGAGTTCAACACCTATCTGTTGCACGGTGCAGATGCTAGTTCAGAGTTTGCAGGTCGCATGTGTAGATACTACCCGCGTGTACGCTATTTTAAATCATAGGATACTATTGAGATCATTGTTATAGGCATAATACTGCCATTGATATGTAATGCAACCAATCAATTCATGGAAGTGCAGTGCCTAACAGCGGTTCATTTGCAATGTCTCCAAATATTATCCTTAATGAGAGATCAAACCTGCATTGCTCTTGTGAGGCAGTTACACATCTAAGTTACTGGTGGCAAGACACCATAGTTATTTTACATTTGCGACATAACAGCACATGCGCTAGAAATGTTATACAACAGGCCGAGTGTCTCATATTTCTCATTCGTGTAGGAAAGGAAACGATTCACTTACTTTTCCATATAGATAATACAGAGCCATTGATGATGATCAGGTGCTCAAGTCTCATGAGTTATCAGGTTGCAGTAGGGTGATAATTATTGAAGCACAATTTACTCACGTCCCAATGTCAAACACCAAGGTTGATGTGACAATTTTGTCATTGCAATGACATACATCGGTCATCAATTACATATTTGTGAATATTTTGCGCAACCCGCTGTGACCACGAACATCAACATGCATGATTTTCTTTGGTCATACAGGATAGCGTTAGAATTGCATAAATGACTTTATATGACTTACTGATCTTGTGCTTTTCTCTGGTTGTCATACAGATAACCAATCAGACGCACTCTCAAAAATATGAGACACAAATAGCCACAATACCCTACAGTCTACACACTGCATAGTATAAATCTATTAACCATACTCGTCAATCAGATTGAGTGCATTCACAATCATATTTGTGCAACCACCTACAAACATAGGTCCATGCGATGGTTATTGGTCATATAGGATAGCGTTCTAATGGCATAAATTACTATGTAGCACGCACTGTCACATGTTAGCCAATTATGGTTATTATCTACATTATAATGAGTATAAAAAGGTAGATCGGCAATGTTGGTTTTTTGTGATGGGGCAGCCCCCACTCTCAGCATGTCTCCATGCGTGTCCCAACTTCTCCTAGTGCTAGGGCGAAGCGGCAAATTGCCTCCCTCATGGAGGAGGTTGAAACATTGAAGCAGGACAAGGTGACGAAAAAAAGGTGTGCATGTTTTCAACCTTAGCTTGTAAGAGCATATTCGATGTCTCTTTGTAGAAAGACAACTTTCTATGTTTCGCAGGGACGGGCGATCCGTCGTATGGTTGACTTGTACACTCCCATAGAGGATCTTATTGCCGAGAATGACCGGCATTGTGAAGAAAGTGACAAGGACTTCACTCCGGAGTAAGCATCCATGTCAATGCAAATTGCTGTACTCAGTACTTACCAAAGTGAACAGGCAAGACCAACTTCAACGTGGTTACATCGAACTTGCCAAGGTACTGTCGTGGCTTCACAATAAACTGGCAGATCTCGACCACGAAGAGTCCAACGACATGTTGAAAAAGGTAAACAATATTGCCACACATCTCACTCATCTAGTTATTTCAATCTAGCTCAAGCGAGGCGCAGACTCGGCTCGGGGAGACGACACAGGAACTCTGAAAGAACTCGTGGCGTCGTGGGTGAACAATGAGTGCTGTCCGATTCCACTCATCAGGACCGACGACAAGCACCATCGAGGCTTCGTGAGCGATGCGTGTGGTAAACTCCTCTGCCCAGCGGAATGGCACTGGGAGGATCCAATGTATGTCATGCTCCCACATCAGTAAAACCTCACTTTTATTTTTGGTGATGAATCCTAATTTATCCTTATTTTCTCACTTTAACCGGGTTTGAGGAGCCATTGGGGTGACATGAAAGAGACGGCGGAAAATTTGAGAAAAAGGCCACTCGCCCTCTGAATTCTACTTTATTGCTCTTAAAAGTCACTTACTAGGCATTGTCCGACAAAAAAAGCAGTAATAATAGCGCAAACGGCGTCACATTGTCCAATACAAAGTACAAAACATTGGTTAAAATGGAGTAAATGGCGACGTGAAGTGTGAAAAAGTGGTCAAAATAGGAAGAAAGGGCAGTGATTGTAAGAGCGAAAATGAATGTAAAACGAAAGAATTGAAGGAGATTAAAGGATATGAAATGCGGATAATGAAACACAAAATGAGCAAACCGGGGCAATGGTGGGATAGGCAAAATGCAATGGTTTGAAGACGGGCGCCGCACAATTGGAAACTTGCAGTGAGCAGTGCAGAAATGACATCTATAGAATGATATCAGCTCGTCAATAAAGGAAAAAAAGAATCAATCTTTGTTACCACAGGATGGCGCGGATGTCAACGGCCTCTGAGCCGTCATCATCAGTGCGAAAGTACTTCTGGAGGCCGACACTGCCCGATTTCTTCAGCAATTTCCGAGCCGTTAATGTTGTGGTCCTCATGTAGTCGTCTCCTTTCGCCTTGATAGCAACCACATATGATGCAGTTACTGATCCCCAGTTGTTGATGGAGAAGGCATTCTCGGTAGTGCTATCCTTGCCGGTGGCCTTGTTGAAGGTCTTCGGTGTCCGCAGCTTGCGCTTCATTTGTGCAGGACCCAGATCTAGGGTGTCCACATCAATGTCAATGGCATTGACACGGAGACGTTTGATGGCGCGCTCGAGCTGTAGAATTATCAGTAATGTTACTTGAATGTACAGAGTACTTACTGAAGCTGCACAAATGCCAATAACACCAGTCATCCCGACGACAGACAGCACATATGTTTTAAGTGCGGGGACTTCAACATGCCCGAGAATAGCGTGAAGATGAGCGGTTGCGAAGAGCTGCAACATGAATGGAGACCGGAAGGCTTGCATCGGGTCTAGGTTTTCCATGTCCTCATAAATGAAAGCGAAGTCCTCCAGAAGCACGTCAGCAAGTGTTTCTGGATCAGTGTCAGCATTCCTAGTGAAAAAATCCATCATAATAGCCAGTCCCGTTGATCCAAAATTGCTGTGCCACTCTGCGAGACGTTGGGTGGCCTGATTGAGATTGTAACCGTTAGTAATAGTGACAGAAAAAAAATGCGACTTACAACGCCAAAGACAGACCCTTGAGCGGTCACCTTGTAATCAAGATCTGATTCTTCTGAATACACGACATCATAAATGGATTGGAGTGCCTCGACCAGAGGAGCGTCTAAGAATTGCCAGAGGTCATTTTGACTCCCGGCCCACAGGTAAAGTGTTGGGAGGAACTGCTTCGGCCACCGTTGATCTTGGCAATGAGGAGGGAGATGATAGTTTCGGTAGCTCGAGCGCGTCTTGTATTGCTTCTCGATCCAATAGCCAGGTGGGGCTGTGAGCGTTAGTTGCGCGGTGCTGGCATCAATGTCCTCTTCAATTTTCACCTTCTTTGCAGGTGGTTGCATCTTTGTGGTGGCCGACTGGGAGACGGCAACGGCAGTCTGTCAGAGAATATAAGTTGTGATAATCATCAATAAAATAAGCTTACCGAAGAGGTCAAACGCACAGCCGTCTTCGTTGTATTGGCCATTGCGACAGGGCCTGAAGGGACATCAATAACCTCAACATCTGATGTATCCTCGTAGGGGGTACTCTCCAAGACAAGGGTGGAGGATTTGGTGTCTGCAAGCTTGCACTTCTTACTCCAACGGAACAAGATTCCATCGCTTAGGCTGCTGTCACTGTCCACTGCCTTGGACATCCTGGCATCTTTGCCCTCAAACAAATTGTCCTCCAGGTCCACCAATGCATTGTCCAGGTCCATCAGTGCGTCGATATCAATATCCTGTAAGTCCTCAGTTGAAGACAGCGCATCCTCAGGCATTGCATCTGAGGTAATCTATATAATTGGCTTTGTGCATTAGAATTAGAATTTATTACAAAACATCTAGTACGCACCCTAAGTGAAGACTGCTTCCCCTTCGTCTTTTGAATGAAGGCATCCAAACGTTCCTGAGAATCATCCGACTCGTCATCAAAGCAGCCAACAAGAGCCTTGGGAGCATCAGATGCATTAGCTAGAGCAGGGGGGGCCTTAGATTTGGAGGACTTGGTAGTTATGGCCAAAACTGATGTAGCGCAGGAACTGGATAAAGCACTGCTTGGTGGCCCATGCGCCAATGACAAAGCTGAGGCAGTGGTACGAGTCTTAGAAGCGCTGGAAGTTTTGAGTAGTTCGGTTGTATCTGGTGAAATATCAGAAATCCAACCATCAACGCGCTTTATCAATGAAAACTTGGGGTTGGTCCTGAATTTTGAGGTCAAGTTAAGAAAAAAAAGAGTCGATTCAGTCAGCATCAACATCGTGGTTTTGATCGGAACAAAAAGACACACGTCGCTGTAGAAGACTTTCCTTTCTTGTCGCCAACACGTGGCCCCTGAATTAACTCAACCTTTCCTGTGAGTGAGCCTCGTGCATTGTTGATTGCGTCCTTCAGAGACGTTTTGACGGCCCTCTGGTTCTTCTTCTTTGTTCCGTCCTCAATGTTGGTGTCCTGGCTGCTTTCTTCTTGGTCCTCGACGCCGGTACCAGCCTTGGGTGAGTCAGTATTCATGATACTAGTAACACCAGCGCTTCCTGCTGCCAGGAGCTTCTTACTGGTTTGGCAGGCACTACTTTTTTCTTGACAGGGCGAGCACGGGGTTTGACTGGCTTTGGTTTAGTCACCATGCCTTGTTCCTCTGCCTCCTCCATCTCCATCTGCATTGCAGCAAGCCGCTGTAGCCCCTCGACTGCAGCCCGCTCTTGAGCTTGGTGGGCTTCCTCAAGGATTTTGTCGTCCTCTGCTTTCTGGGCCTTGCTACGTCGCGGAACTCGTCCTTGCACTGGCAGGTCTGGCAAGCCCGGGTGTTTGAACTTATTGTCTCGGCGAGTGCGGATTCCCTCAGTGATATCGGACATAATTGCTGACAAGTAGCAGATTAAATGAGTGCTGCAGCAAGCTTGAGATGGGTGAAAAAAATGTCAAGGACAACGTGTAGTTGAAGTTTGACTGCGAATTTGTAAGTTCCTTACTTAAATCAACCCGAAACTTTAAAGGTTCAATTCGTCAGTCTAGTCATTTACAGCGTCCTTTGCAACTGGGTCCGCATGTGTACTGAATTGTCCTTAATTGACGTAAGTTTGCCGTCTTTCTTTTCAACTTTGCTGTTTGCTAGAGCTCTCACCTTTCAACGCGCAGATTTCCAAGCTAACATAGGCAATCCTTCCACCTTTGAACGCACAGATTTCCTATTGGTGATTTTTCCTCTTTTCAATGTGCCAGAGCTACTAGTACTGACAATCCTTCACCCCTCAACGCGTGAACCGCCAGAACTAATACTGGCAGTCCTTCCGGTGTGTGAACCACCAGAGCTAATACTGGTAATCCTTCCGCCTTTCAACACGCAGATCTCTGATTGGTGAGTTTTCCACCTTTCAATGTACAAATCGCCAGAACTGAACATCATTCTAGTCTAGTATTGCTGCAATGCCCGATAACATTCCACGGAGTCAACTACGCCGTTGCGACCATAGTTCGCTCCAACTACCATGTAGAAGTTGTCCAAGGTGGTTCAAAACTATCGCCGGGCGAACAAAACATCGCATTTCAGCACATCCCATCCCGCCAGTACTACCTCAGGACAACCACCAACGCTCTCCGGAACCCATCATACCAGAGTCCCGTCTGCCAAGCCCACAGCCTCATGTCGACCACAATATCGACATGGATGTGGATGAAGGATATGCCGACTTGGAGCACCAACATCAACCATCGCCTCAACCAAACGTTGATACGGAATTTGTTGGGCCTGGGGATCACCTGTATCGAAACTATCATACAGGTCTCAATGGTAAGTTCATTCGCATGATTCTGTCACTGTGGCTGAATGTGATTACAGCCAGACCATGCAACACGGATGGTATATTCCTCCTCCCTGGCACTCCGCCCCCACCTTTGGAGAACGTAGCAACTGGCGACTGGACACCCTTTCGCAATCGTACAGAATTCGAAACGGCAGAGTTCCTGTATATGCAAAATCAGATGCCGGCAGGTCAAATCAACCGGTTGCTGGATTTATGGGCGTCTACCCTTGCGAAACATGGCGACAAGCCGCCATTCGCAGATCATCGTGATCTGTACGACATCATCGATAATTCACCATTTGGGGACGTGAATTGGCAAAATTTTACAGTAACTTACGATGGTGAGAGACCTGAAGATGGTACCAAGCCGTGGATGGACGACAAATACGAAGTCTGGTTTCGTGACCCACGTGAAGTCGTGCGCAATATGCTTGCAAATCCAACATACGCCAGTGAAGTAGACTACTGCCCCTATCGAGAATATTCAACCGAGGGCGACAAGCACCAGTGGAAGGATTTTATGTCTGGTGACTGGGCATGGGATCAGGCAGTAAGTGCAGTCTTCATCCTGTAATGACTGCTAATTCTGTATGTAGGATGAAATCGCTAAGGACCCGAGCATGCTCGGCTCTACGTTTGTCCCTGTCATCCTTGGCAGTGACAAAACGACAGTTTCAGTCGGGACAGGTAATAATGAGTATTATCCGCTATACGCCTCAATTGGGAACATTCGCAACAATGTTCGACGAGCCCATCGTGATGGAGTAGCAGTCATTGGCTTCCTTGCTATGCCGAAAAGTGCGTCGTGGTGCGGGCTTCTACAATAATGACTAACTGATTTTTACAGCTACAAAGGAACATGCTACCGAGGCAGTGTTCCGAAAATTCCGTCGACAGCTGTTCCATTCGTCACTCTCCAAGATTCTCAACACGCTGAAACCAGGCATGACAACCCCCGAAGTCACTCGTTTTGGAGATGGTCACTACCGTCGGGTTATATACGGACTAGGGCCATACATAGCAGATTATGAGGAGCAAGCGCTGTTAGCATGTATCGTGCGTGGTTGGTGCCCTAAGTATGTTTTTGTCATCTAGTATGTATCTTTGTATAAGTTACAATTTTTTTTGCAGATGTATGGCATCTCGCGAGGATCTCGACGAAGATGCGTTACGTCGTTGTCGCGAATACACAGAAGCACTCGTTCAAGAAGGTTCCTTAGGTGACCTGTGGGATGACTTTGGAATAGTCGGGGAACTTGTAGTATGTGAATCAGCGCACTCCTTGCAGCACTGTTCTTAATGATCTTATTTTAATAGGCATTTACGAACGACTTCCCCAGAGCTGACATCCATCAGATGATCTCACCGGATATTCTCCATCAACTCGTCAAAGGAGCATTCAAGGACCACCTCGTCGAATGGGTCGAGAAATACCTCAGACACACGCATACGAAACGAAAGGCGGATCAAATTATGGATGATATTGATTGCAGGTAAGCTTGACCGCATTTAGACTACATAACATTACTCATTGTCTTAGAATTGCCGCTGTCGCCTCATTTTCAGGCTTGAGACGATTTCCTCAGGGACGTGGCTTCAAGCAATGGACAGGAGATGATTCGAAGGCCCTGATGAAGGTAATTCATCAATTTAGTCATGCTATGGTCGCAGAACTTATTAATTTTTCAGGTCTACTTGCCTGCCATCGAGGGTCATGTACCCGTAGATGTCGTGCGCACCTTTCGTGCACTTCTCGAATTTTGTTACCTAGTCCGTCGTAACATAATCACAGAAGACACTCTAGTTGAAATCGAAGACGCTCTCTCACGCTTTCACCATTACCGTAACATCTTCAGGACGACAGGAGTGGTTCCTACCTTTTCCCTACCTCGTCAACATTCACTCAAGCACTATGTCCAAAACATACGATTGTTTGCTGCACCAAACGGCCTCTGCTCATCGATTACTGAAAACAAGCACATCAAAGCGGTCAAGGAGCCATGGAGACGATCCAGCCGTTATAATGCACTTGGTCAAATACTTGTGACCAACCAACGGCTCGACAAACTTTCTGCAGCACGAGCTGACTTCACACGTCGGGGAATGTTAACTGGTACTTGCCTCTCAGTAACTATGGACGCCTTGGGTGGGTAAACAGTTCGTGAGATATCCTATATACTAATGTGCACAATAGTACCCGCACAGCAGATCAATGAACTTGATGAAAATGTGCCGGCACCAGCACCAGCACCAGCACCTCTGCTGATCGGCATCGATGAGGACCTGGAAATTGATGATGGTCCGACGGTTCTACAAGCTTATGTCCAGCTGGCGAAAACACGCCGTAAGACTTCTTTTTCTTCCTTTTGAATGTCCTAATAAACTATGTACAGAGGGCAAAAAACGTGCTCAAACTATTCCTGCGCTTGCCGAAGAACTCAATATTCCTAGTCTACCTGACCTCCTCAGACGCTTCTTATTCCAACAGTTGCATCCTAAAGATCCTCGCGACCCATCTAATATACCCCTCGCCGAATGTCCCCTCTACCTTAGCAAAATCTCGGTCTTCAATTCCGCATCATCACGATTCTATGCGCCGAGTGATTTGAGCGGGATCGGTGGTATGCGTGTTGAACACATTCGTTCTTGCCCCATCTGGCGGAACGAGTACCAGCGCCATGACTGTGTTTTCGTCAACACAGACTCCAGTTTGCCTGGCATGCAAGGCCTCGAAGTCGCCCGTGTTTGTGCATTTTTCTCATTCAGGTACCGGGGCAGGTTATATCCCTGCGCTCTAATAAGCTGGTTCGACAAAGTTGGCGACGCCCCAGATGAAGATACAGGAATGTGGATAGTTCGTCCTGGATTTGGAGCAGACAGTGCTCCAGGGTACGCGGTCATTCATATTGACTCTATTTATCGTGCTGCGCATCTTATTCCCATGTATGGCGTGCAATTTGTGCCCCGGGAGCTCAAATTTTATCATTCATATGACGCATTTCAAGCCTACTATGTGAACAAATACGCTGATCACCACGCATTCGAGATTGCATTTTGACTTCACTTTGTTTTGGATACTAGCGTGTAGCTACTTAAACACAATTTGACTATATACTACTATTTTCGTTCTGAACGTGCCTTATTTCCCTTTGCACCAACAATTTCACTTAGCCACTCTGTGGCGCCTTTGAGAAAATTCAGGACACCCAATTAACACTCCTTATATTCATTTTCGCGCCTTAGCGCTGGCGCCAAGGTGGGTAAAGTGAGATAATAGCAGAAAATAAAAGTGAGGTTTTACTGATGCAGTCGTTACTTATATGCTGTTGATATTGGATCTAGCGTCAAGGCTGGTATTCGCGACCGTACAACAGCTTTTATTGTTTCCGAGAATTCATGGCCGTCGTTCATGTATGAGAACTATGAAGCTGATACCAAGAACCTGGAGCGCGGGCTTTTTAAGTCGAAGCTACTAATTATGGTGAGTGTCCTGGATTCTTTCACTGCTTCATAACTCATCGAAATGCAGGGTTTAAAGGCCATATTTACTTCTCCTTCTTCTGCTAATGAAGTGGATGGCGAGGGTGATGGCGCCGACATTATTGAGAATAACCGGCACACCCGGAGACGAACCAATCAAGCCAAGGTAAAGACATGCGTTGCCTCTATCATAGGTATGAGGAAGGTAACTCCTCGCGCAATAGCATATGCGGCTTGCCAAGTAAGATTTCTCTACACATCTCTACTAATCGTGAAGCTAAATAAAATCTACAGATTCGATTTGCACTTTCCAACCTCACGTCCTGGCGCACAGTAGATGGAGATTTTGATTACCATCTTTTCTGGAACAATGTGGTGGACTTCTTCAAGGATGCCCCAGGACCAGCTGCGTGAGCCAGAGTGAACAAACTTCTCGAGTGGTGGACAAGGTAAGTCATCTACGTCAGCCACTCAGCCTGATCACCGACTAACTCCCTGCACAGAAAAGTTTTTGGAAGAAATCATCGGCAGGATTTGATGCTAGATATTGTGTCCAACATGTCTGTCAGTACGCTAGCCTCCCAGAGACAGCAGATGGAGGACACTGAATTAGATTCTGACTAGTACTACTTTTGCTTACGTCTCGCCCTCTCCCAACTACGTCGCCCTGTATTTTCATGTTAATAGATAAATTTTCCATGTTGCAAAGGCAATAGCAATTTTGAAAGCTCCATTTATGTTGCGAACGACTGAATTATCATGAGAAATGACCGCTACCGCACCTCAGCTCACCCTTTTCAATAATTTCGTATGTGTATAGTAAGAATTGCCAGTGAACATTTAAGTGGCGATGAAGCAAAATGGTCGTGTTTTTCACTTGCGCGCTAATAGGCTGTTATAATCATCACCGATCTCCAGAGCACCACTCAAGCTCAAGTGTGTAAATCTCGCTCCTTGCTTTGAATAGGCTTGATCTAGGAAGTATATCATGACCTTCGTGATCTCTGCGTTTTTGAGTCTCGCGCTGATAAGCCGTCACAAATACTAAATATGCAAGTGAAGCAATGGAATTAATGTAGGATAAGATACATAAGATACTCGTTGAAAGGTAGGGGAGACACTGATGTGAAGCATGACTCACTGCTACGAACTCTCACGCTCGGTTACTGCGTTATAGAGGTACAACGTATGTCGCCAATGAAGCAATGGAACTGGTATGGGGAAAAATACATGAGATGCTTGTTAAAAGATAGGAGAGACATCGATGTGAAGGATGACTCACTGTTATCAACTTGCGAACCTGGGTGCTGCGTCATAGATGCACAACGTCTGTCGCCAGTAAAGTAATGGAACTGGTACAGGGCGAAATACAGAAAATGCTTATTGAAAGATAAGAGAGGCACCGGTGTGAAGGATGACTCACTGTTATCAACTTGCGAACCTGGGTGCTGCGTCATAGATGCACAACGTCTGTCGCCAGTAAAGTAACAGAACTGGTACAGGGCGAAATACAGAAAATGCTTATTGAAAGATAATAGAGGCACCGGTGTGAAGCATGACTCACTGTTATCAATCTTTCGAGCCCAGGTACTACGTCATAGACGCGCAACGTCTGTCGCCGGTGAAGTAACGGAACTGGAACAGGGCGAAGATAAGTAGGACGTGTTGGAGTACGAGACCGAGAGATCCGAGCCCAGGGGGAGATCCGAGTCGAGAGAGTCCGAAGGATCCGAGTGATAAGGGGAGAATGGTTCGAGCGCGCGCCAAAACGGACGAAGACGAGCGACGTATGACGTCGGCTCGCGTCCTAGTTTATTTTCAGTCTCTCATTCATATGTTCCAGTACCTGACCAACTTACTATAAGATTACCAGCAGTACCGCAGGCGCATCTCAGTTTTCGTTCGAGACAACTGAGATGTACGTGCCAACAAGTCCCTAGAGTTTACAACGCGTCTAATGTTAGTTATAGCTTGTCTTTGTCGTTCTAGGTAGACGCACCGTTATAGGAGTTTTCATTCGAGACAACTGAGATCTTGTCTTTGTCGTTCTAGACTCCTCGTGACCCTCTTGCTCGTCATAAACGCCTTTAGGTTATGAGCCCTGCCTCCATCATGGAACCTACGCTCCCCGGTACAAACTCCAGCCTGTTCAATATCCCGAAGCTCGCAGAAGACGGCTCAAATTGGATTACTTACAAAGAACGAACGCTAATGGCTATTGGAGCCCGAGGTTTGATGCGATATACCGATGGACGCGTCTGCGAACCTATTCCCTTCGTCATCGATCCGAACACCAAGGCCGTAAAGAAGCCTGACGGTTCGACGCCGACGCAGACTGAAATAGACGAGCTTGATAAGAAGATCGACGAGTACCACCAGAAAAACTCACTCGTTGTTACGACGTGTGTCGCGTGCGGACTGGGATGATCTAACAGCGACGATCACGATAGTGATACCTCGTGCTGAGAGTCCGAGGTCGGCTCCCACAGAAGAGCAGGAGTTGCGTACGTTCACGGAGGTGAACGATGATAGCGAGTTACAGGCAGAAGGGGTCTCAAGTCCTTCTGAAGGTACGGATCTGATGTCGAGCAGGTAGCTTTAGCAAGACAAAGGTTTCGATGGTAAACCCAGTAGGATTAAAGTAAGGAACATCTACTTTAATCTATCGACCTTATATAAGGCTACTCTATCGTATCTAAGCTCAGCTTGAAGCTGGGTTCTAATCTGCTTATCTATCGAGTCAGAGATACCATGCATGAGGTAGGCTTCTATCTAGGATAAGGACCGCGAGGCATCCTTCTATCAGTACATGAGGCAACACGAGGCTTGCCTTCTATCTTGGTAACATATATAGGTCTTCTAGACCTATGTCGTCATATCATGTAAGCGATCCAGATCGCTTACCTAATCCGGCATCTTCCGGACTTCTCTTCTATTCGTCATCTGTCATCAAGGCCTAAAGACCCGGTTATCGTATCGTCGCCGTGCCAGGTGGCAGAGGGCTGGTCGTGTAGCTGGGGGCTCACGTAGTGACTGTAACATTACCCCATTACTACGTACAAAGTCACCGGCTTTGTATCTTCTAAACGTCTTCTTCCATCGTAGCAACAAGTGGTGCGGGAGTTACTGATGTGGAGGTGGAAGGTGCAGAGGGAGGTTCAGGGACAGGGGAAAGTTCAGTAGGATGCTGAAGTTCTAGATCCGCGAGTGCCTTGTGGTTATGCTCCCAATCTAAGAGAGCTTCGAAAAACTTCTCTTCATCGCTAAACTCTTGGAGTACGATGCGTCCATTGAGTCGCGGGCAGTGGACCGACAGATGGTCAGGTCCTAGTTCATCGCAGATGCAACAAACATAGTCTGGACATCTTCTGAACTGATGTCCGTATCCTCCGCAGCGCCTGCAGAGCGTCCTGCGGGTTCGATCTATGGTAGCCGCTTTTCTTCTCAGCGGGCGTACCGGGCGGGGTTCTTCTATAACGGGCTTCACTTCGACTTTCTTTATTGCGAGATCAGTGGTATTGGAGAAGTCGAGAGGGAGTAAGTGAAGTGCGAAGTTTCTGATCCGCCGTTGCAGATGAAGTATAGCAAGTCTCCGAGTTGCTTCATCAAGGTCAACACGATTGGCTACGTCTTCCAGCAGCTTCGTGGTTCGTATAATGCAGACGGTGAGGGAGGTGCACGCTGCAGTTCTGGCGTCTTGATCACCAAGGATTTCGTCGATCGCTTGGGAGTACGCGGGGGTCAGGATAGCAGCTTCATTGAACGCGCTGTTTTCCGTCATTCTGAGGACTAATCCATAGTCTGAGTCCTTCAGTGCCATCTTGATAGAGTCGTCGTCGATGGAGTTTGTCATGATGATGATGGAGGTTTGTTGGGAGAGATGTTCAGGGATCGAGAGGATTTATAACCTTCTTCCAGATCAATCCAAGCTCCGATTCAATCTAAACTTATCTTTATCGTTATCTCTTATCGTCTTATCTAGCCATGAGGCTAACTCGTGTTCGAGATTCTTCTTTGCTATCAGAGGGAAAGTGCCGTGATAGGTACTATCATCCTTTATCTTTGTTTGAAAGATCAGGTCGTCATCAGAGGGTGGTCGTCATTGCCATGATGGGTTCTAGAGGGTTCCAAGGGCTTGCAGGAGTTTCCGTGGAGTTCGTCTCGTGATAGTTTAGCCTCGTTCCGGAGGTCTAGTCTTCTTATCTTCTGTAGAGATCTATTCCTAGATTCTTTTATTAGATATCGAAGGTGGGGATCTGAGCGTGGGTGCCAAGGCTTTGTAGGAGTTTCTTGGGGTCGTCCAACGGGGAGGTCGTCTTCTATTACCCTTTGTTTATATATATGGTCTACTCGGGTGGTCGAAGTGCAGTGATGAGAGGGGTCCCGAAGCTTGCAGGAGTTTTCCGGGGTTCGTCCTTGTTCATCGTCTTAGTTTTACGTCATTACGGACAATCGTAGTTTAGGGTCATTCCGGACCATATCTAGTTTTAGGGTCGTTCCGGACCTATCTAGTTTTAGGTCGTTCCGGACCAGTAGAAGTTGGTCGAGTTCAGGATTCGGTGATCAGTGTTCGAGGTGGAATAGGCGTGGAAAATAAGTAAAATGGAGGATTTCACCCCCTTACTAAGCCATTAGTCACCGACTAATCATATCCAATCAGAAGTCTAGGCCAGGGAGTGGGCCGTCGTCTTCGAAGTCGTTTCCTTCTAAATCTACCATTCGCAGATCATGCGAAGAGGGTGCATCTTTGTCTTCATCCTCGTCATCCTCGGAGTTGTCCATGTCGATAAATCGGACAAAACTGGGCCCGGCGTCTTGTGCTTCCTTCTTTATTTCATTTTGACGATATGCTTCATGGATCGAAGCGATTCGTTCGATGAAAATATCCTGGGCTTCTTGTAACACAGGAGGGAGTTCGGTGTCAGAAGACAGCGTCATTGCTTCTTCGGAATGATGCACGGGTGTCATGGAGAGGTTGAGGGAATTCGGTGGTTCATCGGCGGTTAAATACGCCGGTTCAGGGTCTTCCTCCATTGCGGACTCAGGACTTTCATAGAATCTGAGTTTCTTGGCGGTAGGAGGGTCTTCGATTCGGACTGCTCGTCCTTTTCCAAGAACGGATATTGGTTCTCCAGAAAATTCGAATCTCTGAGTTATTTCTGGTTCAGGGGCCAGTCTGGGCGCCTTGGATGCAGGCGGTTCTTCGTTCATTATTGCACGTCCCTTCCCAAGGACTTGTGCGGGTTCTGCCGAGAATTCATATCGGGCAGGTGCGGGATCTTCTTCAATCTTCATCGGCTGAACAGCCGGTACAATCTTCTTTGTTTGTGGCGGTTCGGGATAAATGTGGTCAGATATCAGCGCCGGTCTGGAAGTCTTCTTCTGAGTTGTCTCCGGATCAGTGGCCGGTCTCT